ATAAACTAATTAATTAATATATATATATATATATATATATATAAATAAAAGTTTAAATGTTTTTCCACCAATAAGGAGAGAGTGAAATCTTACTTTTATATATATGATTATTTGTTAAACTACACTAGACAACATCTTTTTGATAAAAAGATAAAACTAAAAAATAATATTCAAACCTTTTTTTCTATCGGACAATCCATCGATATATTACACAATCATGATAAACATAATTAAGCCAAAAATATACATGTTTATATCATTTAATTTAAATCCTCAAATTAAAAATTATTTCTATGTAATTAGGTTACTCTCTCATCATGTTTATTTTAGATTTTCCTTAAAAATCAGTTTTATGATGGATCATGGAAGGCGTCGGATACGTTTGCAGGCCTAGGATGGTTCTGTCAGCAGCCTCAGGACTCTTCGACCTGGATGGGGGCCTCGAATCTGCGCCGAAGTCTATCTCCACTACATGCTGAAGTCGAAGCTCTAATCTGGGCAATGCGTTGCATGATTGGTCACAACTTCCGCGATGTGATGTTTCTTACCGACTGTTCAGACCTGGTGAAGATGGTGTCTTCCCCTTCAGAATGGCCAGCATTTTCTGTTTACCTGGACGATATCGAGATGGATAGGGAAGAATTCTCAACTTCTTCTTTATCTCTTATTTCACGAAATCTAAATGTAAAAGCGGACTACCTGGCACGACAAGCTCGTTCCTCTCCGCATCTCATTAAGTTTGTAAACAACTGTCCTCCTAATTGGCTCACTTGAGCTAATTCTATATTATTGTTGGAAAAAAAAAAAAGATATCGTTTCTCCTGAATTCTCTGGTACATTGACCATCTTTCGCCTTCGTAACAAAGACATTATCCTTTATGCTATCATCATTAATTGACGTATTCATGAATTTATCCAAAAGATAAAAAATTGAAATCTCATATTTAAATTTTGCCTTTTCTAGTTAAAACGAGGTTGTTTAATAATTTGACTTAGAATCTCAACAAACAAATAATCTGATAATTTCTTCCATTAACCAAATTAAAATCCGTAATATAATTGAAAAAATCAATAGTATCTTATTTTCATATATTTACAGTGAAAGATTACAATGAAAATCTATTAATTTGTAAGGTTTTAATTTATCTATAAATTAATAATTGATTTTCCTAATTTGATTTTTTTTTCGAAATAAATATTAAAAATAAGATTTAATCATGATATTTAGTATTTTAAATAATCAATTACGAAAAAATAATAATTATTATGTCTTGAAAAAGAATGCTAACAATTTTTTATATAGTAAAAGAAATAAACTCTAACAAAAACTAATTATTCTATATACATATATTTTGAAAATTTTATCTAATTATTAATTTATAATATTGATGAGACCCATATATTTACAAAGAATTTTCAAAAAAAATTATTATCTTATTACTGTATCGAAATGTGTCTAAAATTACAATGGTCTTAACTTGGGACCGGAAAAATTTATTAATTTATAGAAATTATTAATTTATCGAGTATTAATTTATAGAGGTTTTAGATAGTAATATTTATTAATAAATTTTATATTTGTAGTAATCTAAATGTCCAAAAATTCAGATTTTTTGTATATTTTAGATTTTTTTATGAGAATTTTTGAGAAATGCCCCTTTTAGTGTACCATTTTTTTTAAATACCCCTCTTTTCTATCCATTTTCAAAAATACCCCTTTTCAAATATGAAAAATTATAAACTTTTATATGGTTGATAAGGTACATCAAAATCATTATTACTACTCGGAGACTAAATCCAAATATTTAGATGGTTTTAAAAGGTTCTAAACGGTATTTATATGGTTTTTATAAGGTTTTTAAAAGGTTTACAAAGTTTTTATAAGCTTTTTATATGATTTTTAAAAGGTATTTTATATGGTACTTATGAAATATATATATAAATTTACACACATGTAAAGATAATTTGTGTCTATAAATATAAGTTTATATATATTTTTTTGATAAATTTCAAATTTTATAGTGACTTTTTGATAAAATTAGAAAGAGGGGTATTTTTAAAAAGTGGTATTGAAAAAGGGGTATTTTTGAAATTCACCCTTTTTATAGTATTAAACTTTTTTTTTAGTAAATTAATATAAAAAAATACTAGAGGTTTTGGATACTCATATTTTGAGTTACGGAGATTTCAGGTAATCCTCGAACCCAAAAACCCAAAACTCGAACCCAAAAACCCAAAAACCCGACAAACCCGAGGTATAAAAATATCGAAACGTATTCTATATTTCTAAACCCAAAAACCGGAAACCCGAACAAATACCGATTAAGCCATCTATCGTATGTGCATACGTATCATCATCAAAGCCTCTTTCTCTCACAGTGTCTCTCTCCTTCATTTTTTCTTCATCAACAAGACAAAAAAAAGTTCTTACAAAGTTCTAATCTTTTGCGTTCTGTCTCAATACGCGTTCAACACAAACCTCCCATCATACTCGCTCAATCATCGTAATTCGTAATCGTAAGTCAATTATAATTGTCTTGGGTAATAATATATCTCAATTCGTATGTGAAATTTTGCAAAATTCTCAAAATTGTATAATTTGATTTGATCCAATTTTTTTTAATGATCTTCAGATTCCTTTAAATCCATGGCGGTTGGTGATAGTAGCTTAGACTTGTCTCATCGTATGGAAGATTCTGGAAAAACAGTAAAAGTTTCTCTTTTTTGGAAAGGAAACAATTACTCTGTTCAAATCGATTCTGAAGCTTCTCTCAAAGATTTAGGTTTTGAATTGAGAAAGCTAACAGGTGTTACTGCTGAGTCGCTTCGTTTGATTGTTCCAAAGTTACATGAAAAAGGTTCGATTTTGATGTTACCCTTTTCTGATGAACACTCGAGCTTGAGTTTACAGGAATCAAACATTGTTGAGGTTAGTCTTTTGCTTTTGGTTAACACATGATTTGAGTAGTTAGAGATGTTTGATTAGTTTAGTGTTGTTGTTATAGTCGAGACAGCTTGTCAAGATTGTGTTTGGTTTCTTGGATCTCTCTGTATGAAGTATCCAAAAAAAGATGTTAGTTTTTAATGGTTCTTCTTGGTGAATCAAACATTGTTGAGGTTAGTTAGTCTTTGCTTTTTGGTTAAAACATGATTTGAGTAGTTAGAGTTGGAGATGTCTGAATAGTTTAGTGTTGTTGTTATAGTCGAGACAGCTTGTCAAGATTGTGTTTGGTTTCTTGGATCTCTCTGTATGAAGTATCCAAAAGTTGTTTTTGAAATAGTTCTCCTTGGTGCTTTCTTGTTGTTTTTTTTAGGATAAGACTATAAGAATGATGGGTTTAACTGAAGAAGAGATCGAAGGAGTTCGAAAAGAGACAATGCCTGACATGAGGATACTTGGCTTTGAAGAAGAAGAGAGAAGGCTTAGGCAAAAGAAGTATGTTTCGAGCAGTTCAATCACGCTCCCGCAAGGGACTTACATCTTTTGTGATTTCAGGACTCTTCAGCTCCCGGGTATAGAGGTAAGTACATCTAACATGTATGCTCACATTTTGGTATTCAAACATCAACGTTGCCTTTGTTTTTCTCTGTTTGAATTAGCTGAAGGTAGATTAAGTCATACGTAGACTTTTGTAGCTATTATGTCTCTTTTTTGACATATTTGCAGTATGAATTCGATGAACTTGTTTGTTTCCTGTTGATTTTACCGTTTGAGGAATTAGAGTTCTCTGATTCTATATAGAGTGACATCTGATATTTGTTCCTGCAGTTAAACCCTCCAGCTTCTGCTGCTTTAAAGAGAATGCACATGCTTGCAGCAGACCCTGGTATTATCGCTATTATGAACAAGGTTATATCTAAATTATGAGAAACTTGTCATTGCAACCGTTAGCATATCGATAATGTACCAATTGAGTCTTGTTTTATATATTTGTAGCATCGTTGGCGAGTAGGGATTATGACTGAACTTGCCCCAGTTGGTTATGTTGGTGTTAGTCCGCGATGCCTTCTAGGATTTAACAAGGTACGCATGTTTTGTTTATCAGGGAAAAAATCACTTCTTGTCTGTTCTGGTTTTGATTTTTACAAATCTTGTGGCTGATGTAGAATCAAGGAGAGGAGATTTCTCTACGCCTTCGGACTGATGATCTCAAGGGATTCAGAAAGTATCAGAGCATAAAAAAGACTCTATTGCATGAGCTTGTAAGTTCATTGCTCTGCAACTTGAATTCTTATCACCAAACGCTACAAATATTTCTGCACGAGTTTGAACTTGAGAGCTTATAATCTTTGAATCAAATTGTCAGGCTCACATGGTATACACGGATCATGATGAAAACTTTTATGCTCTTGATAGACAGGTAATATATATAACAGTGATGGTATATGTTTCTGTTATTTTAAAATTAATTTTTCGTGGAGATTTTACGGATGAGTGTTTGTGTGACAGTTGAACAAAGAAGCTGAAAGCTTAGATTGGACCAAATCAAGGGGTCACACTTTGAATGGATCAAAATTTATCAATGACGATGATGAGGAAGACTTCTTCTTCGATGAAAATGAAAATTTTTCGCAGAGGCTTGGTGGAAACCAGTCCGATAATCTTGGAAATGCTCGTGAATCTTCTGTTGCTGCTGCTTATCGCCGTCTCTCCCACACAAGTGTTTCAAAAATCAGCGAAGAACCTGATCCTGATGACTTGGTTGATGTTCGTGATGAGAATAAACAGCCATCTCTCCCTAAAGCTCAATGTGATTCTATGAGTAAGTTGGAGCCTGATCCTGATGATACCACTGAAGATGATGCAACCAAAACTGAACAAGTTCACTCATGGATCCCATCAAATCCTAGAGATGCATCTGCACCTGATCATCACTCGGGATCAAATGAATTGGCAAGTGATCTTGCCCAGATTACTGAAGATTATGAACCTGATCCGGATGACTTAGAAACACGAACAAGTATAGAGGAAGCTGAAAATATGAAAACATCAAATGACACTGTAATGTTGGGTGGGAATGGAGATGAAGATATCCAGGCTACACCTGATCCAAATATTGCAGAGCCGTATCCAGACGATAACCCGGTGGTCACAGAGAGGGAAACGATCATGGAGGTTGATGAGCCTGATCCAGATGATCAAGAGATTCAGAGGATCCAAGACTCTGTTATCATCATCTCTAACCGTCTCAAGAAAGCTATAAATTCCTTGGAAACTGAAGTTAGCCCGGGTCAAGCAACCAATGTGCTGCAAATGCTTCTCAAAATAGTGAGGTACCTTTTTAAGCTTTAGAAAACTTACAAGCGTATCTGCAGATGTAAGTCTATTGTTATGTGACTGAAGATTCAACTTTTTTTTTGTGGTCAAGGAACATCATTGAACAACCAAGTGAAATGAAATTCAAAAGGCTGCGTAAGGTGATGACTCCTTAAGCCGCCGATATAATATTAAGTTCCATTGAGTTTTTTTATCGTCTCTCTGATCTGTTTAACTACTTGAGCGGCGTTTCAGGGTAATCCTGCAATTAAGCGCAACATTCTCAACTTTGCAGGTATTACTTTTTCCTTCTTCTCATAAAAAGTTTGTGTATGATATATATCTGTGTTAAACAGTACATGGTTGGGATGTTTTGCAGCTGCGGTTGAGATCCTTTCCGTCGTTGGCTTTGTCGAAGAGATGTTATCGGAAGGCGCAGGAGCACAAGAACCATATTTGGTACTGAAACGAAATGACCCAGGGCTCTTGTGGATTGCCAAGTCGATGATCGAAGAATCCCACTCCACAGGTTCCAGCTAATAATACCACATTTTCTCTGTAAACTGTACCATAAAAGTATGATTTGAGACTGAGTTGCTTCTTTTTGAGGCCATCCATTGTTGGTGCAGCATTATAACAACATGTTCCATGGGACTCCTTACCGATAAATTGGTAACAGCTTGTCCTGTGGGAAGGTTGTTAAAGGGCAACTCTTTTTGTATGTAAACTAGGATTAACCCCGTGGTATAACACAGATCCATAAATTAATATATTTGTTTTTTTTTTGCTTCCAAACCGAAATCAATTTCATATTATTTATTAATCGGTACAGTCTTGTTCAGCTCGGTTTAAAACCATGTTTTGGATTCTTCAAACTTTAAAGAAATGGTCGTTCATAGAAGATGAAGCCACCATGATGGAACCTTTTCCTCAACACTCAACAGTATCCGTATCGTATTAAGCTTAGAACCAACGGGCCTACATTTGGCACAGGCATCTCCCAACCCAATGACACATCTAAATTGGAGTTTAGAACTGAAACAAAGAGACAGTGAAATGTGTGCAAGATGATCCTTGTTATTACGCCTTGTGGTCTTTTGCCATTTCATCAACATCAAGTTCTACCGCCAGGATTGGAGAATCCTCTTCCATGGCTAATTCACTGTTACTTACTGGACCATGATCCACAGCTGTCCTCAGACAATATATAGCTCTTCCTACTATGTCCGCCATTGAAATCGGACCAAATGTTCGACTATCATATGCTTCCTTAGATTTCATCTCTTGGTTCTCAGCTACAACCCAGCACTATCCTTTTCACACTATCCTTTTCAAGAACAAAAAGCTTGTCTTTCTCATCACTTGAAACCATTTCAGATCCTTCTATAGCTGCCAATCTTCTGACTATATACTTATTTGTTTCATTCGGGTCCTTCAAGACAACAGCATCTTCTGACTATATACTTATTTGTTTGGTTAGACATTTTTGTAGTTGGTTTATATAGTCTAGTTTTATTTCAATTAATTTTATATAATTTTATGAATTTGTATTATAAGTAGATTCACACATATATGTGGTCAACCCAAACAATTTTGTTGTAAATAAAAAAATATATTTTAACGTAAACCGTAAAAATATTTTATTATAGACAACCTGTAAAAAATATAGTTATATTTATATAACTCAAACCCGTTCAATTATATTTATGTACAATATTAAAATATTTTTTAAAAAAAATTAGAGTTAAAATATTAATGATACTTTAAATTTTTATAGAGTTTAAATATTTAATTATTTTAAATATTCTATAAATCTTAAATTAAATATTATAATATTAGAGCATAAGTAAGAATTTCTCTAATATTTTAAACTTAAAAAAAAAAACAATATTTGTAATATTTTGAAATTTTTTTTTTCTTAAATATAGAACCCGATTAAACTGAATTAAATTTTTAATTTGGATGCCTGAGAAATCAAACTTCATGTTCATTTATAGTTAAGAACATATTAGTCCTAAATATAATGGGTTTGAACTCTTATATAAAATTTTCTACCTTATGTTGACGTTGTACATATATTTTTCCCTTTTTCAATTGAGTTATATACGTCCGTTCTCAATATTTTAAATTGCAAAATATGCGAAAAAAATTTATTTTTATTATAAATATATTTTATGTAATAATATAAATTGAAAACAAATAAGATTATATAAATATATTGGAGAGAGATCTGAGTTATTAGAGAGAGATTTTGGGGAAATGTTTTTGATGTAATAATATTTATTTCTAATTTTTCGCGATTTGCTTGTGATTTAATTACAAAATTTACTTTTAAGTTTTGTTATTTATTCAAATGACAAGGGTTTGATTATGCAAATATTACAAAATAAAAGATTATAGCCCAAAATAGATTTTAGTACAAAATGTACTTCAAAAATGTTAAGATAGATGTTCCAACCTATACATATTTAAGAAATTTTAAGAAATTGTTATCATTTAGTCCTCAAATGGGTGAGTCTCTTCCCTTTCCTCCCGATAGAGATTATTAGTAATCAAAATCGTGCATGTTAACTAAATAATTAGCATGGTTTTTTTTGTAAAAGGTATGAAAATGCTATTTTTCCCTCAAGTATCACAACAGTTACACTTTGATTTTTAGAAATATATAATTCATGAGAAATGTGTAAAATAATAAATTGATTTAGCTATCAATATATCTGATTAAAATGTAGTTATTTTATCTTTCAAACATCATTGGTAAAACTTCATAATTAATCATGTTTGACTTAAAAATGATTTTATAATTAATCATGTTTGACCTGAAAATGATTAGTAAATTCAGTACAAAAAAATTCCTTACCATCTTACAAAAATTCCCTACCAACCTCTCTAAGTAGCGGGATACACTCTTAGTTGTCTATTAAACATATATATATATATATATATATATATATATATATATATATATATATATTTATACTCATATATGATATAATATTATATTATTACATAAATCATAATTCATTAGTTACATTATGTTGCTCGATAATCTCAACTCTCAAGGTGGCCGTAAACATACCCATATATTGTCTCTTTGATACTAGTATTTTAAATATTTATCTTTGTGCGCAGGTTGCGAATGGATCAAGTACTAACCATAACCACATTATTTTCGGTGATACTTATGACTTGGACCAGACTATACAAGACATGTGCCACCTCTTTGCTCTCGAGATTGCAATGGATGATATTTACATCTTAGATGTGTGCTACCTCTTTACTCTCCCTAATGATGCGCAGATTGCGAATAGATCTACCACTAACCATAACCAGCATGCCTTCCTTGATGATGCGCAGGATGTTGGTATACACAATATTTACATTGTTAGACAACGAGTAGCAGCAGAGAGGGCTGAGAAAGAGAAGAAAAACCTAATGGACAAAACAGTTCCTTCTACAAATTCTCAAAGAGAGATTAATTTGAACGGTTTCAAGCGGCGTCAGTTAGACAAAGAGGCTTGTAGTGATCTAAAGGGTTGATGGAGACGGTTTTGTATTATTTTGTGTGATTCACAGTTTTTTTGAATTCTAAACCAATAATATTTAGTTATTTACTTTGAAATTTGTAAATCGTAACTAAAATTGCATCTCTATATTAGTAAATGAGAAATACAAAATAGAATATGGGTCGGATCAAAATTAAAAAAATTAACCCGATTTTAACAATTGGATATTAAATTGGGTTTGGATACATACATCGGATACTTTCCATATCTAATTTTAGGATTATGTCATTTCCATAACTAATTTTAGAATTTCCTAATATTTCTCTAACTAATTTAATATAATATATTTAAAAATATATATTTTTTGTCTTTCACTTTTATTTGATCTTATTTGTACTTTATGATATTATACTATATAATAAAAATGTTTTAAAAAATTAACTTTTTTTGTATATGTTGCAATTTGAATTTTTCAAAACGGACATATAATTCTCAACTACACTCTGTTAAATATTTTGGACAATGATTTAAAATTATTATAAGTATGACTAATATTAAAACCATTGTACATGAGCATATTTAAAATTTTAAAAAATCTCAAAATATTATAATTAAATGGTTCAAATATATAAAAAAATTTAGATATTAAAATATATTTTTGAGACATAGGTGTAATTTTGGAGACATAAATTTTATTGATAAAATATATTATATATTAAACTACGTCAATTTTAGATAGTTCACGGGTAGTTTGTTAAAATCACAATTATAATGGTAAAAATTCAAGTTATGCATAAAGTTTTTTACGACATGAGTTTTGTTACTGGTTGGTCCTTCCAAAAAATATATTGTAAATATGTAATTTTTACGTATATTCCTATTTCTACTAAAAATGGTCAAATTGAATAATTTATCGACAAATATTCTTTTGGCTTGTTAATTTTTTACCGTTTTTTTATTGTATCAAAATTGTAATCGACTGCGCTACAGTAAAATTAAAATATAACATATTTTATCCATTAAAAATTATATATAAATAATTATTTCTCTCGTTCTGTAGAGCAGGTCCGAACCTGATTAATAACATAAAACACAATTACATATCTTTCAAAACAAATTTATTTTCTAGAAAAATCATCTTTTAGGAATTATAAAAATTATAATATTTTTTAAATCTTGTTTATTTAGAAAATTATAATATTTGTTAATTACATAGAGGTTTTTTTTAATTGTGAGTTAAGAAAAGGTGAATGGCATGACTTGGTAATAAAACCTAAAACCGAGGGTGTTTACAAAATAGCTAATACAATTTTATAAAACACGTCTCTGCGTCCACGACAAAAGCTTCAGCAACACCACGCAGAGCTACGAGAGAGCGATTTGTAAAAAAAAATAAAAAAATCAGAGATCGTCTTTGTTGCTTTGATCAATCCATTACTGAGGTAAGCTCTCTTTTCTCCCTTTTGATTCTCCGATTCATCGTCTCTTACGCCGCCGGCATGATTTTGCTATCTCAACTCTAAAATTAGGGTTTCTTGTGTGGTCTTTGTATCGTTGATCGTTACCAGAATTGTTTGATCGGAGATTTATCCGGTTGAATTTTGTTTGCAATCGAAAACGAATCTAATCTTTTTCAACATTCACGCGACGAATCAATTCGTTTTCAGATTCTGATTCTGTAATTGGTATTGAGATTTACGGAATCGGAGCTGTAACGTTTGTGAATTTTTGATGATGATGCAGAGACGATGCCGAAGAACAAGGGAAAGGGAGGAAAGAACAGGAAGAGAGGAAAGAACGAAGCTGATGACGAGAAACGTGAGCTTATCTTTAAAGAAGATGGGCAAGAATACGCACAAGTTCTTCGTATGCTTGGTAATGGTCGATGCGATGTTATGTGTATCGACGGTGTTAAGCGTCTTTGCCATATCCGCGGTAAGATGCACAAGAAGGTTTGGATTGCAGCTGGTGATATCATACTTGTTGGTTTGAGGGATTACCAAGATGACAAAGCTGATGTTATTCTTAAGTATATGTCTGATGAGGCAAGGCTTCTCAAGGCGTATGGTGAGCTTCCGGAGAATACTCGTCTTAATGAGGGTATTGTTGGTGATCTCGATGAGGATGAAGATAATGGGGGTGATGATTACATTGAGTTTGAAGACGAGGATATTGATAGAATCTAAGTTTGTTTGTGGTTGGCTCTGTTCCAGCTTGTATTATCAAATTTGAGACACATATCTTCTTAGAAACTGAAGATTTGGTGATTACATTACTCTTTAAAATACTATCTGTTATGTATTTCTCGGCTTTCCAGTTTCTTATCCCTTACTGGTTGATTCCCCAAATAATTCTACAGAAACTTGTTATCAGATTCGATTTGTTCGAAAGAACAAACTATTGTGAAACACAGTTCTTTCAATGCAAAGATTTACAGGTCATGTGATTATCTCAGGTGCTGCTGCTAAGTAGCTTTTGTGAGGTTTCTTCTCTCATTTTTCAGCTTGAGGTTGTGGTCTTGGCCTTCTTAGCCTTCTTTGTCTGTTGTTGCAGATCACTTTTGGTTGCCTGAAGCTGCAAAAGAAAAGCAAAACTCTTAATGTGGCTGGTGAGATGAAACTTCTATGCATTGTGTGGTTTTTTTCTTTACCCTGTTATGCCTTCTCGGGCTTTTGTAGCTTGGAATAGATTTGCGCTTAGATATGCTCGCTTTAGGACTGCTCTTTTTGGTTTGGAAATCTTTAGTTTCCTCTTCTTGTGTCTCTGATATGCTTTCAAATTGGAGAGGTATATCGTTGGAAGCACAGCTCTCCAACTCTCCAGATATACCAAAGGATCTATTCTTTATTACCAATCTTTGGTTTCTTGTCGCAACTTCTGTCTGAATGTTTGTTGTTCTGGGTTCAACTTGAATGCTGTCTGGTACACGGGTTGCCATCCAGCGTTCTAGCCAACTCCAACCAATGTTGGAATCATCTTCATCGCTTCGATCCATTTGCTTCTTCTTTGAGCAAATTCTTAGCTTTAAACAAACGTTTCACAGTTTAGAGAATATGAGGTTATTTAGATAGATCTTTTAAGATTCAATTCAGAGAACAAGTGTTAACCTGCTGTGAAAATGCATATGCAAGTGCTCTCTCCCGTTTTGTCATTGCTTCTATCCTGCTTTGAATCCTCGATTTCGATATTGTGCTGCTCACTGTACTATCATCCCAGTCTTCCTGTTATGTGACGCATGTTATGTTACTCTACACTAAATCTTTGAATTCCCCTTTATTGGACATGGTTGTTTTACGTACCTTTATCCTCAGAACCTGAGCTTTGTTATTGTGTAGTATTGATCGATTTGCAGATACTCGTTTACTCGTGAATAATGGTGCTTTCACAGAATTACATGTCTGAGCTTCTAGTGATGTCCCCATGGATACCTTGCCTTGAGATTCCTCTCCTGAGAAGCTATCCTCCTTAGCAAATGTCACTTCTTCTTCTGCTTTGCTACGACGTATTGCCTGAACACAACATATCCTATGAATCATTGAAGTGGAACATAACAGACGAAGAAAAAACAAAAAAAAACAAGACTGAAGAGGAAAACAAACCATGTAGCTCCTGAATGCTGACTGAATTATGACTGCAGCGTCTTCTTCGAGGAACAACTTGGAGATTGGAGTAGTCTGATGCTTCTTAGGTATGTGCGTCTCTGTTGCTTCACTTTGGTTATCAACATCTTCTTCTTTAACATAATGGCTCAGTACTTTTGATTTCTCCTCCTCAAAAGGCTGAGTCACTGTTGCCTCAGAGCTCTTAACAGAGACGAAATCATCATCCTCCAAATGTTTCACAGAAGCTGAATCTTCAATCGCGATAACCGAACCAAAAGGCATACCGCAATCTGAACTCAGCCGCTGAGACATTGTTGTAATAAGAGCATCAGAATCTTTCATCGATCCTGAATCATCAACAGCGAGAACAGAGTTGAACTCATCTCCGCAAAGGTACGATCTAACCGAGCTCCATCTTTTCTTCTCTCCTAGATGATTGCTTCTTGCCTGAAAAAAACATCACACAAACCATTGAATAAAAACTGTCATAAACACATAAAAACCAGAGTAGTGATGGGTCTTTGATGATCACTTACACTTAGATTGTTGTTGTAGTCATGAGCACCAAATGATTTGTTTCTAAAGAAAATGCTTCTCACAAGTCCTCCCATTGTTTCTCTCTTATGTTTTAGGAACTGAGTAATGTGGAGGACAAGAACAACAACAACACCACATGTGAGATTTTGATTATATAAAAGCCTGAGAGAAAGCATAAGGTTGCATTATTTTAGAATCACAAGCACATGAGAGAGTCTATGTACAAAAGAAGAGTACATGTAAAAAAGGTGATTCAAAGCATAGCGTATAGTGCAATTAGTGATGATTGTGATCTGTAAAATATGAGATAAATTGTTTTTTTTTTTTTTTTGATTTTTAAAGTGTAATCGTGAGTTTTTGTGGTCTCGACTTTGATTACTTTAAAAAGAGTAGTAAGGATATGCTTTGGTATGCACATGGAAAGCATCGGATTGGTTCTTTACTTATGCAAACGGCAATTTCACTCCATTCACTTTTCTTTTCTTTTTTCCTCTCCCGACATTGCTGCTGAACATTTTTTTTAATGGTTTTGCTTAATTTCACTTCAAATGGAAACAAGTATATGTACATATATTTTTGGTATAGTTTAATTGGTTTTGTGACTATATGATGATGTTGTAGGAACCATGAAAATATGTGTAGATCAGCACAATTGAAGAAAGAATTAAGAAAAAAAAGAAAAGAATTACCCGAATTTAAGATCAATGAATTTTTTTTTCCGAGATAACAATATAAGATCGATTTAAAGATGTGAAATAGATCGCAATTAAGAGCTATCCGCAAATTCTAAGATCAAATAATCACCATGCTGATATTTTAGCAAAGAGCATATACCAAACAATGGCTAATACTTCATTTTATAATTTCAATAGCTTTACATTGTAACTATGTTTAACAGTTTCATTAATATAAATTTTTAGCAAAGCGATCAATGAAAATACGTGTAGATCAGTACCATTGAAGAAAGAACTAAGAAAAAAAAAAGAGAATTACTCGAATTTAAGATCAGTGATTTTTTTTTTTCAAAATAACAATATAAGATCGATTTAAAAATGTGAAATTGATAAGTCGCAGTCAAGAGCTATCCGCAATTGGCATAGATTCTAAGATCAAGTAATCATCCTGCTGATATTTGCAAAGAGCATAAACCAAATAATGGCTAATATTTCATTTAATAATTTCAATAGATTTACATTGTAACTATGTATAACAGTTTCATTTATACAAGTTTTTAGCAAAACGATCAATGCAAATTCCTTTTTTGTTTGCTGCTATATCAATTTTTTTAATTACTTTATTAGTGACTAGCTAATAGTTTTCACTAGCTACTAATTTTAGGCTGGGGCCAGTAGTAGCAAAAGATAAGACACTGACTTTTCCATATGTTTCACCGACAGATTAATGATTAACTCACTACTACATTTTATTAGTAGCCGCTACCGATCCATGGTAATGAATTTTGGCACCGGGCCAAACCTGAAAACCCCCCATAGTGATCAGGATACAATGAGAATATGGCTCGTGGCCGGTATTGGTGGGAGACATCGCTCACATCAGGCCTGGCCACGGTCACGAAACATGTGACCATGGCGGTGCCGGCCAGTCAATTACGAGGTCCAATACAATTTTTTTTAATTAGTTTTATAAATAAAATTTAAAAGTTAAAACCAAATTTAAAAGTTTTAGAAAATAGGATCTATTTTTACATTAGAAAAAGATAAAATTTAAACATGAATCAAATCTTAAACTTTGTTAAAAATGGAGTTCAATTTTCAATACAAATAAAAATTTTGGGGTCTAATTTTCATATCAAAAATGTCAACTTTTTTGGAAGCTGAATACATTAGTTTTTTAAAAATGTGTCAAGGACCGGACCTGGACCATAGTGAATCAATTCATGCGATTTTTGAAGTCATGAAGACATCCTTATTACGGATATCTTATATCAATATTTTTTTTTTAAAAGTATTTTAAAGAAAATACTGGTGTAAGATACCCCCAATAAGGATGGTTTAAACAGTTTTGTCGGTCTAATCCTTCAACATACTTATTTTTTGCGATGGATAGTTTTATATATGATGGTTCTTTTTCTTTTTTTGTTCAACACTTATGGTTGTTCTTGAAATCAAATGGCTCGGGCTGTCGGGCATGGTTCGTTGAAGAGTTGCTCAATTGTGGATTTATCGCAAGTCCGGAAAGCTCGCTATGTACTAGTTCGTGGTCTTGAAAAGAACAAATCTAATCTAAGGAAGGCACTACTAACCTTAAGTAACTATAGCTAGAGAGAAGCCAGTTGTCAGACTACAACACTTTCATGTCAAGAACCTCGTACGTGGCAGTCTGAATTGGTACGTGTTACTTTCATAGACATTGAAGAGAGACCGAAGACAAAATCTTCACGTGCCAACCATGTACGAGGTGTTGATATGATGATGTGATCCTCAACAGCTCCACCGCTTGGCATTCTTTTTGTCTGAATCGAGCGTGACATGTATCTAAAAATTTAATAGCTTGTTCCTTACGTAAACCTTTGCATCTATAAATAGCAATAGGTGCATGTAGCATATTTTTTTCATATGAGCAGACTTGTAAACTCAATATTGCATGGTAGTAAACATGAATACGAAGACGTTTATCGTATGGTTTCTGTTGTTAGCGGCTGTTGTAGTAGCTGTAGCAGCAGAGACTTCCGTGGATGACAAGAAAGAAGGTGTTTGATTAGTATTCTATATTTTCTATATGTTTTATAAGTTTGATAGACTTCTTACGTTGGAGGAGGTTTGAAACAGGTGCAAAGGAAGTAGAGATACCAACCGGAGAAGGCAAAAGCGACGCTAAAGATAGTGTCAACAAAGGAGACGTTGGGGTCGAGGCCACACTTGAGAAAGAAGAAGATAAAAATTATGAAGTTGATCAAAGCTGGAAGGGAGGAGGTGGCCGAGGATGGAAGGGAGGCGGTGGCAGAGGATGGAAAGGAGGCGGCGGCCGAGGATGGAAGGGAGGCGGTGGCCGAGGAGGAGGTGGTGCTGAGGTGGAAACCGAAGAAGTAAATGATAATCTCAAAGCCA